TAACTGAAACTAATTTTTAGAAATATTTTCACTTTTTGTATTATTTAGGATTAAATAATAGATTTTTTTCCCCAAGAAATCAATTAGTTTTAAATATCTCCTTCCAAAAGAACTGGTGAACATTCCCAAGCCTATAGACTGTTATATTTCTGATTATTAGGTTGAAATTTTATTCCTATGCTTCAAGTCAATGGTTTCTAACGTAGATTAAACTTGGGAATGCCAATTCCTTTAAAAATATACAGCCACTCCTCAGAAAAGGATAAAAAGTATTACTTGATACTTTTCTGTTTGGTTGGTCAGATTAATTTTGCCTCAACCCTCCAAAACCAAAAAGAAAAAGAAAAAAAGAAAAAAAATGTTTTCAGTATATCAAGTTAGATTCATTTTTTGGTCATTTGTTTTAGATTATATATGGGGAGCTGGATTTCTTTAGGAAATTTTAAAACGTTTTTTAACTACCTAGAGTATAGATAACTATTTTCTGTTAGAAGTTAGGCCAAGCATATATTCTAATTAATTTATTAGGAGGATACTCAACTTTTTACTTTATGTATCATTAGCATTCCAAAATATTCTTTAAAATTATATACACTGGCTATATCATAAACATGGAAATTCTACAGCAAATGCATTTTGACATTTATTTCCTCCACCATCAGATTCTTCAACAACAAAATATTTGTCAAATGGAAACCCATTGGAATGTTCATGTTGGGAATTGAAAAATACCTTAAACATGTTTTCATTTCACTTTATGTTTCTCAAAGAGGCAGTAATCATAATAATAAACATTTTATCCAGGTTCTTAAAAAATAAAAGTTTAAGTAATAAAAACCTTCTCCAATTTTCAAGATAGAGTGGTAGTTTTAAAGGTGTTTGTGCCAAGGCAGCCATTTTGAAGGAGAATGACTTCATGTTGGTACAGGCATGCTTAACTTTTAGTTTAAATTCTACTTTCTTTGAATGCATCTATCTAGAATGAAGACAAGTGTTTTCTTTGAACAAGAATTGTTTTGACACACAGCCATAGAAGATAGAGAAATCTATCACTATGTCTGATTGGTACTTTTTACTGCAAAGAATCCCTATAATCAGAAAAGTGTTGAAGACAGGGGAAGGGATCTATTTTATGGAAGGTGTAAAAATTTACAGCAGAAACATGAGAAAAATAGATCATATTCAAGTATGGACTGGAAAAAGATACAGAGATCCCTGAACATTATAATCCTTAGAGAAGACCAAGATGTGTTCATGACAGGAAACCATAAACACAGTTTATCTTTATAGTATTCCCTAGGCTCATACAAGAAATTGACAGGGTAACCAGCAAGTAAAGTCTTGGATCCAATATACTTGCAAACTACAAATCTCTGCCTATTCCTAACCTGAATGATAAGTAGCATTTAGAAAATGTAATTTCATTACTAAGAATACATTAAGAATATCATTCATCAAACACCCTAAGAGGATTTCATTCATATTCAATTATTTTTTTTAAAAAAACTCCCCCTCTTAATAATTCTAGATTAGTTAACATTTAAGTTTTCTACAATGTTCTCATGTATCTCTCCAATGTTATGGTTTAAATATATCAAGTCTCATTGATAGAATTTTTTAAACTATTTTTTACTGCAAATATTTTCATAGTACATTATGAAATTAAGAGAAAAAAATATATATTAAGAAATTATTATTTTGTCTCAAGATATTTTAATGTCATCTTCAAGAAACACTGATTTGGATTCAGCTCCTTCCTAAATTTATCTGTTGGGTTTCTTTCCACTCTTTTTTCCTTCCTTATTCTGCAGTCTGCATTGTTTCTTATTATTTTAAAACAATTTTTTTCTTTATTTTTCTATAATTTCCTTATCACCCATTTGCAATTTAGGTTCAATGTGGGTAGGGAAGAACGTAACCTCAAAGAATACAAACCTCCTCAAAGCAAAACTTTAATGATATTCTGTTGGCTACAAAGAACATGGACTTCAGTTCACCTTTTTTGGAGGGGAAAAAGATTAAAATTTTGATACATATATGTCTGCCATATTTAGGTGGTTTTGTTCACAGGCATATTAAAATTATAATAGCAACATGAATTTTAATTATTTGGAAATATGTTTCCACCTGTTATGATATTCAAGAATTTAAAAGAGAACTAGCATCAGGTCTCTCAACCCCTTTTCTTTTCAGAAAATTTGACAATTTAAAACATACTTCCTTTTAAGTCTTAATCCTTATCAAGCAATACTTTGATTTGATATGACATTGTTAGGTGACAAATTAGTTGATTCTAAGTGAATCTGATTTACTCTCCAATTTTGACTGTTAACAGTCACAAAGATCTTTCTCTTTTCACATGAGATGGAATCTAATAAGAACTGACATCTGTGTTAGTGTGACTCTGAATCAAAAATCAACATAAACTAAAAAACATACAATATATAATTAAAAGGCAAGTAGATATACATGGATTGAACTCTAAAGGTGAGTTAGTTTCAAGTACTTTTCTATTTAGTAAAATGTTTTTAGCTTATACATTCCCAAACAACAGAGGTAGACAGTAGTATAAACATTTTCTATCTAATGTGTACAGTTTAGAAAGCTTACCATTAGTCACTAAGTACTTAGAGAACCTAAAAGTGATTTCACAGTTTTGGGCATAAAACTAGTTCCCGCACTATGGAGCACACAGGTGTTTTCACGTAACTATTCTATTCCTCAAGGACAACTGACATAAGCATGTGCTGAAAGTTACATCTCATTAACCTCTTCCTTGAGTTTATATTCCTATATCTTCTGTTAAACATTTTAGTGGGGGAGGTCTGTCATAATGCAGCAGCACCTTCTTTTTTCAACTTTCAACAATATTTCTTTCTCTTATTCTTCCCCCCACTTTTTTTTCTCCCAAATGGGGCCCCCTCATTTTCATTTTGGTAACTTGCTATGGCAATTAGCTATTTGGAAAGATGTGTATACATATATCTTCATATATTTATATAAAGAGCAATAGGTTGTTGGCCCACCACTCTTTACTTGTGCTGCATGACAAAGTACTTCTTAGGATGGTATTGTTAAGGAAGAAAATGAACACTGAAATAAACAATGACAACTCACAATTATTTTCCATGTGACTGGCTTATATGTTAGATGTTCCTTTCCTTCATGGAACTAAATGGCACTAAATACAACCCTTTAGTTATGTAATTTCCTCTCACAAGAAAGTTGGTTATCTTTATGCTCAACTTTTTTATTATATAAATAATTCCCTTCAAACATTCATTGTGATCATTGTAGCAACAGCACTATCCCACATAAATATACACAAAAGCCCAGAGGACTTAGCTCCAGATGAGGTCAAATTTCTGGAGCTAGGGAACTCCTTCAGAAAGAACCCAACAGCTCTAGTCTGCCAGTGCCATTATATTTTGCTAGCACACTGGGCTGAAAAGCTTCATTCTGTTCATCTGCTGCGGTCCAACTTCAAACAATCCTAAGAAAGGTTGAGAGCTGATTGTTCCAGATCAAACACATCATCATTTCAAGTTAGAGCTATGGGCTTCCATTTTATCAGTACAGTTTTCAACTATTTCACACCAACTTCAAGGCAAGTTAAGCAAGTTCAGAAGCTATGTGATTAGGTGACAATGATATGTTTAAAAGATTATCTCTAGCAAGTGTCAGATTTCCTAAAGGAACTCATATTAGTCCCACCGCTGGTAAAGTAAATGGCATGTGTGGGTATTTTATAAAGAATATGGTCTGGTTGCCAACAGCAGGTTGGATACAAACACTACAATTCATTCCCCTGCTCTTTCCTATAATGAAGCAATAATTTTCAGTCAGTTCATAATTCGCTTCATATAAACAGAGACACTAAATCTCCCAATGCAACGTTTTGCCTGTTGGCTTGGCACTGACATCTGATATTTTCTTACTTGCTTTTCTTTATTCCTAATTAAACTTAAAAGTTGAACTATATTAGTCATATAAACTCATTTTATGATTTGCAAAACTAGATCTATGATACTTCTGATTTTACTTTAAGCAGTTAACCATTCCAACCCTGGTTCCTGTGTCCCAGATATTCATCTACTCTTTTTCCCTTTTTTTCATACGTGCATCCGTTGTCAAAGGTTATTAAATTTGTGCAGGAATTACTGGTTTTCCAGATTACAAGTTTACAGAATACAGGTTTATTATAATATCCACCTCCTCTCTCCTAGGCTTCCCATACCACTTCCCTTCTAAACTTCTACCATTTATCAGCTACTGGAAACAAACAAAAAAAAAAACCCAAGAGTAAAGCACCAGGTTGGATCAAGGTACCCCAGTAGTGGGCAAGTCTCTTAAGGTACCATGGGGCTGGGTCAAGACCTTCTGAATCCGAGGGGGAAAAAAAAAAAAGTCAAGTTCAAGCAGGTGCTTGCGCCCTAAAAAGCTTCTAGGCTGATGACGCGAATCTCCCTGGATTCTGCCCCAGGAAGGGGCTACCGAAACCAAATGGGGTCGTGTAGGCTCTTTCACCTCTCCATAGACCCTGTATCCACCAGGTAATGAAGTTAACCCAGAAGCTAAGTTGAGGGCTGACCCGCTTAACCGGAAGAATCTGGAGCCCGCAAAAGCTCATGAGTTGAGAGCCAAAGCGGAGGGGAGTCTCATGGAAAAGCGATTTCTGATCCCAACATCTGCAGCGCTTGGGATGCGCGGGCAGAAGCGCACAATCAAGTCCAAACGCTCCCGGAGGGTACAAAATCAAGACCCGTAAATGGCCAAAGGAGGGGGGGGGGGAAACTGTGGGGGTGTCCAGAACTCTGGCACCTGGTTCAGAAATTTCCCCACCGCACCTCTCACCCCCCGAGAGGCCAGAGCACAGTGGCCAAATGGTCCCGGGGAGCGGGAACGGGGCTGCAAGGACTTAAGTTTCCACACTCACTTATCTGCAAGCATCGCCCAGGAGCAAAGCCGAGGGAGAAAAGGGAGATGGGTGTTCTCCTTACCTTGGTGGGCTCCCACGGTCAGCACCTTGGCGATAGGCAATAATCCCGAGAGAGTGAGTAAGGCGAGGAGAAACTCGGACATTGTGGTCCCCCGGAAAGGAAGCCTGCGCTGGAGACTGCTCGGCGGCACCCTTGGCCCGGCGGCGGCGGCGGCGGCGGCGGCAGCGGCGGCGACAGCGACGGCTCGGAGCCCGGAATTGAGCAGCGTCATTTACAAATGTCACTGGGAATTCTTCAGCTCAGTGAGTCCAGCTAGTCCGCCTTCTCCTGCCTGGAGCAGGATGTGGAAGGTGTAAGGATGCGCGCGTGCGGGAGACTGAGTGTGTGTGAGCGCGAGCGAGCCGCTCGTGTGTCTTGACTTTTCAATGCAGGGTACGTCTGATCTTACATCACGCAAGAGGGGCAGTGAGAGATGCCAGCGGATGGGAATTCACTGATTAACCACCGAATCCACCACACACCCCTTCGTGGTCCACATAAATCACATCTATTACTTAGTAAGAGGCATTTAACACAACAGGAAAATACCACCGCAAACTGAGAACGCCACAAATCACAATTATTTCAGTCTCCTTGAAGGGAAAGTAACTCCAAGCTGGTTCTGTAGGGAATTGGGTCTTTAGAGAAGGGGGAGACTTTTCTGCAATGGGCTGAGCCAGCCAGGCGCCTAGAACGCTCTGCATTTACCAGCCAGCTGAAAATTATCAGCACTAGGCTGCTTCTCTGGGCAAATCGGATTTGATCCCTTCGGTCCTTGGAAGATTCCTAGGAAGGAAAGACAAGCCAAGTAACTGAGCTTCTTAGGGAAATGGTTTCCTCCACTTAACAGTATCGCAGTGCTTTCTGAATTCCACTTTTAACTTTTATGCTGAACAGCACTTGGGGACAAGCATGCAAAATTTAGTGACTCAGCAGAAACAAAACCAAAACACCCCCAAAAGTCACTACCATTTCTTAAGATGGGAAGGTGAATGGAAATGACTATTGAGTTCCCTAAGCAGGATCAATTGGCAGTGTGTTTTGTAGTGGGTTTCTCTCTTTAAGAGGGTGCTTCCAGCCATTTTAAACAGGTTTTGAGGTGGGTTTGATGTTACTTTGTTTTGTTTCCTTGTTCTAAACAGTACAGTGGCAATTTTGGAACTTTTCCAAACCATCAAAGGCATCAGAATGAATCAGTGGAATTAAAAATAAAAGTTGTTTGTGTGACCACTTAAGTTTTCAACATGATCATCCAAGTGTCTAAAATTTTACTTTGCCATTCAAAAATAGCTGTGTAGTTCCAACTCAGAAGTCTGAATAGTTGAAGGTTTACTTTCTTCATAAAGCACTAGTAATTTGTCTAGCAACAAATTGAAAATAATGTTTTATATTCAATATTTTAAAATGTGAGATGAGTAGAAGGGAAAATTGTAACAAAGAAACAAAACTAAGCAAAAGGATAATTGAAAAGAAAGCTATTTTAAGCACTTTATGCAGTTTACTGATTGAGACTTATAGATGAATGTCAGCACTATGAACTAGTCGTTTATGTAAATAAAATTATCCAGACACACCTTTAGATGCTCCATTGAACTCATTAAAATTAGACTAGATCAAAGAACATAGAGGTGATGCCACAGAACATTGCCAAGAATCTCTGAATTTCATCTTTTCATAGTTACCATGATTGTAAAGGCATTATCTATGTCAATATTTCCATATTTTAAAATGTAGTTTATATTTCCTTGTAAACCAAATGATTTAGTGTCTAAAATATAATTCCATCTATATTTTAAAGAGTGTGATTTTTCCTTCTAGCTGTTACTCATACAATTTTCCATAGATTTTTTTTCATAATAAAATGTATTACATAGAGAGATTCTTCCTCTTTGAATTCATTTTACAACTTAAAAATGAGTGAAGGGGGCTAGGGACATGGCTCAAGCAGTAACACGCTCGCCTGGCATAGTGGGCACTGGGTTTGATCCTCAGTACCACATAAAAATAAAAAGATGTTGTGTCCGCCGAAAACTAAAAAATAAATATTAAAAAGTTTTCTCTTTTTCTCTCTCTCTCTCTCTCTCTCAAAAAAAAATGAGTGAAGGTGTGAAAAAATGAGAGAAAGAGAAAGAGATAATGTGAAAGTTATAAATATATCTTTCTTAAGAGTCCATGTCCCATTATATTCTATGAAGTACTTATTCATTGGGGAAAAAGTAAGCAGGTGTCTTTACTACAGGGTCCCATTTAATCAACTACGTGGTCAGCTATTATGAAATATCTATCCACTTGTATATTGGCAAGAGATAAGGTGCTCTCACAAACCATGCTAAAAATATCCAAATTCTTCCTTTTCTATGCTATTACTACCAGTACCCTTCTACCTACACGTTGCAAGAAAAGGAAAAACAGCCATTTTCCATATGTTCCACTAAAGTCACTCAGCAGGTAAAAATGCTACAATGCAAAGAGCAAGCATCAGTAGACTCATCAACTTTAGCAATAGATGGAGCAGTCCAGGATTGCACCATTGGCTTAGAAATGGAAAAAAATCATTGAATATAATCAGAGAGCCAAACTCCTAAGAGATATTGTATTCTTCATGTATCGTACTTAATACATACAGGGGTCACTGATATTAAGCCTATTTAATGAATTAAAGTAAAAAACCACATGATCTCTTTTAAATCATTTGGTTGATATTTTTCATTGAATGGAAGAAAATCAAGGATACATTATTCAAACATTGTGACAAAGTAGTAAAGCCAAATAAGAAATTTTTAAAAGTTGTCATCAAATAGACAATCAAGTATGAAAAATAACTCAAAATAGTGCTATAAAATGTTGTAGAAAATATATAAGCCAAAATACCAATGAAAGGTGACTTGTTATATTTAATGTCCACTATGATGAGTTTCAATGAAGTATTATAAATAAAATAAAATTTGAAGATTGATTTTAAGAAAGCAAATGGCTGTGATTAATAAAAATCAAAATGATATAAAAATTTTCTACAGCAATTTTGACATGGACATAACATACATCTAAATATCTGTCACAAAGAATATTAGATAATAATATAATAAGGACATTTATTCACATCCCAATTAGTATATATAACAATTTATCCATAAAATATAATGAATAGTTGAAATATTTAACATTAGATATATATACTCCAAAACTGAAATGAAATAGGATAAAATTTCTATCCCATACCAAAGCATTTGTATAACGTGGATCTTCTTCCCAATGGCGATTGAAAATGACCAGTTTATCAAGAAATATTTTTATAAACATGAGTGAGTGAAGCTGATAAAAAGTCTACCAAATTTGAGCTTTAAAATTAAATCACTTATTCTTATATGTTGAATGACCATTTAGTTTTAATGGATGAAGAATTGCTGGGAAAACATAATTTTCTGCAAAATACTTGTATTTCTCCCTAATGTCTTGATGAAAAAAGATATTAATAAAGTATGCTGTTAGTGAATAAAGAATACCTAGAGTTACTGTTCAAATTTGTTTGTTCTTATGGCTTGTTATAATTTCTTCTTTCTAATCAGAGTTATTAACACTGACAAGTTAAATAAATTAATTCATCAAGCTATAGAATATTATGAAATATTTCAATGAGATAAATTATACAAAGTAGAACCAATCATTCTTCCTTTCTGCTGTAAAACAACATAGGAATATTAATTATCAGTCAGTGATAATCTTATACTTTCCAATTAGAGTTATGCTTTGCATACATGTGATCAAACATCAGATTTCACTTCTGCTAACTTGTTTTGTGTGTGTGCAGTTGTGTTTCTTAACATAGTTGATAACAATTCATGTGCTACACACCTGAAAATAGTACAGTACAAAGAGGGCTTTTGTATAAACAAACTGGGGCTGACAGTTTGCCTCCTTTAAGAGGTGTGTGAAGGAGAGTTGGCCTAGAAGTTAGGTTGCTAGGGATTTCTGTAGCTATCCTTCCAAGGGTTGCTGAGTTTTATACCCCGCCTTTTCAGATAGAAAAGTTGCCAGGCAGCAGCAGAGAGGGGATGAGAAGAAGGAAGGAAAAAAGAGAGAGAAATAGAAAATATTTCAAGAAGCATTATCACATTATCAATACTTTAAAATGGAAACAGAGTTACTGTAGACAATGCCTTTGAGAAAAAGACTTCATCTTCCTCTTACTTCACAAACTGTGTCATGTATATATTTTACATATTTATAACTGCTGTCTTTTGAAAATGTACACTGTTAGTAGCCCACTCTTTCAACTGGGTTTTGAGATTTGATTTGGTTAGAACATTTTGTTGCAACATTAACTGCCACCACTTGCAAAGTATTTGAGGGGTATATACAACTTAAGAAAAATGCATAGCAATGCAATTATCTAATTAAGTCTGGGAAGTAAAGCTACTTATAACCAAGTTAAATCATCCTCTCTTTAAGTAGTCCCAGTGCTCTGTACTATCATTATTTGTAAATATTGTAAGATAAACGTATTATGTATTATGTGGGAAGCATAACTGATAATTATAACTTTTAAATATCAGTTAAAATTTTAAGACTGGTGGTTGTTTTAGATTTTCTTTGCCTCTTGTTGGATAAACTTTTGTCATTAGGAAACAAAGGAGTCCTTACTGATTTATACAACATCAGCAGACAACTATAAATATGAAAATCGGTCATTTTATTTTTAATGAATTAACTTTCATAATAATATTGCATCAAGATACAAATTATCTTTTGCTTTTGTTGTTGTTGTTGTTGTTTTCATTTTGTTTGTTTTCATTTAAGGAATTAAACCCAGGGGGACTTTATCACTGAGCTAAATTCAGCCCCCTTTTTTTTAAATCTTAGATTCAAAGAATTTATAAGACCGAATGACTACTCAAAAACCTACTACTTCAAAGAGTTAAGAAGCACTGACATGGAAGGCTGTCACCAACTGAGACTGTGGATGTCTTATTACTCATGTTACAAAGAGCTATAGAAAGACACAGCTTTTTTAGTTTGAGACAGGATCTCACTAAGCTGCTTAGTTCCTCACTAATGTTTGATGGTTGATCTCAAACTTGAGATCCTCCTTCCTTGATCTCTCAAACTTCCGGGATTACAGGTGTGCTCTCCCACACCTGGCTAATTTTGCCTCTTAATATGTGATCAGAAGGCACAATCAGTAACATTGCTATCCATGTATATGTAATACAGAAATGTAAACATGTCACCAAATCCTGTCACTCCATTCATGTGAAGGTCACCCTTAGGTTTAAAGTTATTTGCTGATTATAACACTTGGTATTTTGGGTGCATTTAGAACCTAACAGACCTGTGGTCAAGGTGAGCTCCCTGGTCACCCTCACCAGTTGCTAGAGCAGCCTCAGGAAATGGTACTGAAGGTTGCCTGTCAGTAGCTCCTGGTTGGGTGCATTTTTTAGTAGACCCTGATGATACTTTCCTACCTGCTGATTCTGATCTTTGGCTTTTAGTCCTCACCTCACCACTTCTTTACTATATTTAGAAACTTTTAGATTGTTGGAATGGGAAGGAACATTGAAATCATCTATTCCAATTTACTGTATTTAACATATGAGAATCTTAAAAGACAGGCAAGGGGACTAGTCTGGGACCACACATTTCATAAATGTCAGAACTAGTACTTGAATAAAGTTACCTAACACTGTTACCATGTAGTTGGACTTATTG